TTCTTCAAACATTTTCTTATTGTATAATTTACATGGCAATATACACTGTATATTACATATTATTAAATATATATCTGATTAATAACATTTTATGCTAGTATATTTTGAATACCGAAAGGATCTATACAGATAATAATACCAGAATATTACAAACGCATGAAGTGACAAAAGGGGCGTGGTTTAGCGATCTCGAGAGTGGAGTTGCCAATTAGTGATTTCCTATGGGCCTGCGTGAGGCTACCTGGTATCTACCTACCTTGTTTCAGATAGCCTGTGTAGGATGTGTTGACGGATGGGAAATCCAACTGCATAAATTCGGTTTCTCTCGCAGCAGGCTTACCCTTCCAGAAGAAGGTATAGCCAGACTCCTATTCTGTTAGTCGACCCTCGTCTGGGAGCCGGAGCTCATTAATGGCTGCTATGTTGATTTTATATCTAGCCAGCTCTTTTGCCACATGGGCGGTGCTTCTTTCAGGATGTGCATTTGTGCCAGTTTCCAGAAGGGTTTTGACATTCCATGCAGCGACCATAAGAGGCTGAATAGTTTGTTTTTGTTTTGATTTGTGATTATAATTGTTTTCGACCGCATAAGGATGACCTTACTGAGTGCAGATGCCCAGTCAGGTTGGTTCTTTAGGGAGGCGATGTTTAGGGCACCTTTTCTAGCCCTCTCCCCATGTGCGGTGAGCAGAGTGGCTCCTCGAAAGGGCTGCTCAGTCGCACAAACAGGACCAGATTGCACTGCTGCCTAGATCCCAGTGTATAAACGACCATCTTATCTGTGCCCCCCATATGCAGAGTTGTGACTAGAGACTCCTGGCAGCCATCTCTGTCTGTCCCCATCGCCACTCGTCCGTCGCCATAGGACTTTTGGAGTATAAGGATTTGATGATGATGGGTATGAAGAGCTGAATGATGGCTGCACGTGAGTTGATTTATGTGGTGAGGCTGGAGTGCAGACTGCAACCACACATCTTGGCTCTCCCTTTTCCTGATCCAGTGGTGCAAGTGTTGCAATGACTGGGGAGAGGGAGAGTCGCAATGGACTGCCGATAACCCAGTCGGTTGGGTTTCGCCTTAGTAGCTTTTTGGGTCCCCATGTTGGTCACCTCTTCCTCCTATACCGCATTTGGGGTCTTGTTGGAGCTCTGTAAACATGTCTGCCTGATACGTGGCTCCACCGCAGATTTTTCGTTCTGGATTTACTACCATAGCCTTATACCTACCAAGATTAATCCGCAAGGCAGCGGGGCAGTGGTTGGTAGGTGCCAGGATGTGTACACATGCCAGTGGGTCTATGCGCTGTCCCTCTGGGGCCCACTGTTACTCCGAAATTCCCTGCTCGTCTAGCCTGGGCCCACGAGGCACCCAGTTACTGTGTGTTGCCACAAGGACACACACACACACACACACACACACACACACACACACACACACACACATGTTGACGACTCCACCATTGGGATCAGCGTCAACAATTCTGCTCCTGACTATACCGCCCTTCAGGATTTATTGAACAGTCTCCAAAACTGGGCCACCAACAACCATGTCACCATCAACCATACCAAGACCATGGTTATGCACATCAACCTCTCCTCCAACATTGTCCCACCTCCTTCCATTACTTTAGGTCCGAACACACTCCAGGTTGTAGATTCCACGAAGCTTCTCGGCATCACCATAGACAACAAACTAAATTGGAAACCACACGTCAGTGAAGTTGTCAAATCCTCCAGTTTCCGTCTCCAACTCCTCCGCCGACTCAAGTCCCTCGGAGTTCCTGCACCCGAGCTCCTCAGTGTTTACACAACATTCATACTTCCCAAGCTCACCTATGCCTCCCCTACCTGGTCTTCCTCCCTAAATGCCACACAACGTAAACACCTCGAAAAAGTGCAAAAGAGGCCAGGCAAGATTATTCTCTTCCCTTCCTACTCCACATATCAAGAAGCGCTCAACACACTGACCCTTTCGACTCTCACTGACCATCACCACGACCTCATCTGCAAATTTGGTAAGAAGCTTCTACACCATCCTCGACACCGGCTCCTACTACCACCTGAGATCCCTAGCCCGAGAATTGCTGTTCGACACCACAACCACATCCAGCCCATACGTGCACGAACTGATCGCTATAAGAACAGTCCAGTCCCAACCATTGTAAAAATTATCAATAACTTGTAATAAACCAGTGTATTCACTCCCAGTAAATACTACTTCTTGCACTGTCACTATGTTGAAATCCACTGTAGTTCGAGCTTTTCCCCATCTAGTTATTATATATCTTATTTGTATCACTTATTTTACTTGTATATTATTTGTAATTCGAAACCCATTCCCCAAATATGTAACTGTATATTTTCAGCCTTCTGGCTGCCAAGCTCTTTCAATAAACCGTTAATTATTATTATTACACACACACACTGACTGCAGCAGTCCATCTCAGTTACTATTATTTTATAGTAAAATTACAAATTATGTCATATTTTTTTCTATTACTGTATTTAATATTATATATTATTAATGATGAAACATACACCATAAGTGGCTGATCATATGAGAATATAATAATGAATAAATAAAACCAATTGCGAACTCAACAACAAATAGTCCCAAGCTCACTCTCAACCTTCTTACTTTCAAGCAGGAGAGGGATGAGTGGTCAGCACCACCAGGGAAGAAATTACCTTCTAATTTGGTGTGTCCTTTTATTTTGATGTAAAATCACAAATTATATACTACTATTGTATTTTTTCTATTATTTAATAGTGTATGTTATTTACAATGAAACATACACCATAAAAGACTGATCATACAAGAATATAATTATCAATAAATAAAAACAAGCTGTCAAATGCGGACCTACTGGTCCCCCCCCACCTCCAGCATGTTTACACATGGTCTCATTTCTCATACCTATTAACTCTCGTTAGACCTATATCAATTCTGATTAGAAAACTGTACAGTACAGCAGGCCCCTCAAATTCACACGGGTTAGGTTCTCAAAATGACCGCGAAATGCCGACTCTGCGAATAACATTTGCTGACCAGGGGGAAGGGGGGGGGTGGTAAATTTTTACTTGTGTACAAAGAAATGTATATTCCCTTTATGTGTTTATCTTCAGGACAATTACTTCTTTTACCTGTATATTTTTGTGTGTGTGTGTGTGTGCGCATGCAAAACACATACAGTGGGGTATGCTATGACGAACGGATTCTACTACGAATATTCCTATAACGAACAGTTTTACCTATAAATTTGAGAATGCTATAACGAACGAAACTCCTACAACAAACAGTATTTTTTTTTTTTTTTTACTAATTTATTGTTTTTTATTACAAGTATTATTGATATTCTTTATTTCAGGAGTTTAGATGCATATTTATGCACTTTTTTACAATTTTTACAATTTTATGTTATATTTTTCAGTGTTAAGTGGTTGTATTTGGGGGCCTGGAACGGATTAATCCTATAATGAACGAATGCTATAACGAACAAGGTTCTAGAACCAATTAGATTCGTTATAGCAAGTCCACTCTGTGCTTTGTTGTTTATAAACCATGGAGTAGACTTGAATGTAGACTCAACATTTTTAATACATTTGTTTCTGATTATTTGCGAGAGGATTTTCCCATTATTATTTATTTGCATGTGTTTTGTGTGTGTGTCTACACACACACACACACACACATACACACACACTCACACATATATACAATACAGGTAAAGGAAATTACTGTCTCTAGAGCGAATGGCTCCCTGTCCCAGCCGCAAAAATGCCAACAACTTTAAAACTACCCACAGACATTCTTGGGTACATCAAGGATGTCATCTGCGAATTAAAGATATGCAAATTTGAAGGGCATGCTGTATTTCCATTAAAGACAATGCAGTTCTGTATCTATTTTAATAATGAATAAGGTAGTATATTTTATAAACTCCTTTTTAATGAACTGTACTACTGTATTACATATATAAAGGAAAAATGTTAAAGGAAACACATATGACATTTATTGCACATTAAAATACAAATTTAAGGGTCATCGGAGGGCTAATGAGGGGCTGCTTAGTGTCAAAGGTCCGGACCCCTTTCCTCCAAATTGTCTGGACTTTTGAAGATTTACTGTACAGACAAAAGTTTTCTTTGAATTGATTTGCCACATACTACACAAGATAAATTGTGAAGAAATTGGACAATCAGGCAACTGGCATGTTGGAGATAAAATCTTTGTACTTATGAGTCTGTGAAGTGAGGGGGAGTGTAACTGGCAACTACTGAGCCTTGGTTGTTGTTGTGATGCAAGAGATGGTTGTAGAGACAAATGATGTGGTGGTGCAGTGGTGGGTTTTTGTGGTGCAAAGTGGGTGGTAAGCCTTTATGTAGGTGGTGAGCCAGGTGTGGCATCATAGGTGTGGGTGAGTGACCACTGAGGATAGGAGGAAGAGGGAGGAGGGAGATGAGGTGAAAATAATTCCAAATTATTTCATTATGATGATGATAGCAGGTTGATATGAGGCTCACCAGCCTTGTGTCTTACTGTAGAGTGTCTGCCAATCATTGACTTTTCATTCTTAGTATGATTTTTGGCACACTGCTTTAAATTCATGGCACCAAATGCTAATCGTCTAAAGGTGATTATAGCGGTTAAAGAGTTAATCCATATTTATGGCTGACCTTAGAACCCTACCTACTCCCATGATATTTTTGTATGGAAGTCTGCAGGAAATGAAAAGGTTGATGCCTGGCCAACATGAGAAGAAAAGAAGGGTGAAATGTTCATTAGTAAATGTGTTGTTGCATGCTCAATGGGCCTCCTTTACTCCTGCTCTCTTCCACTAATGTCAGGTCTTGTGGATGTAGACTAATTGCTTAGTGACCATATAAAATGAGTCATCCAGTTCCTGGCTCAACCATAAAATGGGATTTCAGGATCAATTTTTTACTTTACAACTTAATGCTTCTAGTACATCAGTATCTTCATGATTTTTTTTTTCACAGATATCCCAATCCTGCCAACAGTCTCTGCAAAGATTACATTCCAAGAATTTGCTTTTCGAGATGACATACCTGACTCCTATTTTGAAGTTCCCACAGGATATAGAGAAGATCCTAATAGGTAAACTAGTTTTAGATAAATTAACACCCAAATTTTCAGGACATCTGTTATCCAAAGTACAGTACTGTATATGAAACCTGTACTGATAACAAACTTTATTTTCATATATTGAGATTTATAAAAACAGAATCAACTGATATTTCAATTTACACAGTACAGTATATTGCTTTCATTAATAAATTTATTTGATAAGTAAGTAAATTTGTTCATTAGAATCAGTTTTGTCCTTATATGGTTCAAAGTTTTCTTCAATACACTGCACTGTACAGTATTAAAATACAGTACAGGTAGTTCTGCTATAACGCGATAATTGTGTTCTTGTAAAATATCGTGTTATAGAAAATCGCGTAATAGAAATAACAGGGCTTATGGAGAAAATAGGGTTAGGTGCAGATTACTCGAAATTGAAAAAATTTAGTAGTTAGCCTAACACAAAGGATAGCACAGTCTAAATAAATGTTACATTCATAGCTAATAATTAAATCATACAGTAAATGTAACACTTTACCTTGAAAATATATGAATGTAACTTGATGGGGGAGAAGGGTGATTTTGAGGTGATAAAATCGAGCTTCTCTTCAAGTGTTATATCCTTTCTTTTATGATCATCACCGGGAATTCTATCACCAGAACGCTTCTTGGAGATATTCTTCTTTACCATATTCACAGTTAATACCACAATATTGGAGAAATAGTAAGCAAAAATCGCGTTATAGCAAACAAGTGTTCTCGTTATACAAATATCGTTCCTAATTCATAAATCGCGTTAGAGCAAATTCGCGTTATCAAAACACGCGTTATAGCAGAATTCACTGTATACACTAAAATTTTACACATAATTAAAATCTGAAATGGGGAATTATGGCCAAGACAGAATTGTTCCAGGTAGCTAAAGCCAAGACATTCCTAACCTAATGACTGACCTCACCAGTTTGCCACAGATTACAATAGTTTGAGCACCCCATCAATATACTCTATAGTTATGATCACGAATTAACTTGCAGCAATATACAATTATATTCCCTTCTTAGTTCACTATGCTTTAGTTAATCCTGATACTCAAGATGCAACATAACTGGGGTTCTTTATACAGTATATGATTAAAGTTTTGAAAGGTAACCAACTTCCTTTTTCCCCCCCCCTTTTTATACATTTACAGTCATCCCTTGGTTATCACACCTAATTGGGACCGTGCCGAGTGAGTGATAATGAAAGTACAGAACCTATGGGATTTATTCTAATTAGTTCCAGGCACCCAAGACCCAACCCCAATTTTCCCATTTTACAACCATTTAGACCCACTAAAGATATAGATAATGTTATGGTAAGTATCAGAAACACACATAGGCATGGCTAGGTTTATTACAAAGTGATGAAAAGGGTACGCTCAATACTTTAGTCCACAAAACATGTAGCTATGCTTTCTTTATTTGAGTCCCACATCTGAGAAGTCCGTTTTCTCATCACTTCAGGACGCCTGAGTCCTCCGTTTTCTCTCAATCTTAGAGTGCACCCGAGACTTTGTTATTCCTTAGTAATGACACAGAATTTGAAATTGCAACTGGAGTTGCAATTGTTTAGGCAACTTAGATATGTCTGATTACAGCAAATGTGTTATTGTCAATTTTTAGGAGAAAGATTTTATCCTCAATAGATGTAGGTGAAGCAAATGGGTAAAAACACCTGGAGGCAACTGCGTGATAACGAAATTCTCGGCTTGAAAAATGCACTATAACAGCAGGTGTGCAGATTTTGATGGAGGCGTGATAACGAAAATCGTGATAACCAAGTGCTCTATAACCAAGGGATGACTGTATTTTCACTATGACATGGGGTTAATCTATATATTTCATAACTAAATTTGTATTACTGTTCTCTTTAGATTGGGGATTTGTATTTGTTGTACAGGTATATTATTTACTCTAGTTAAGGTATTTTTAAATCCTTTCTATTTATTTGATCTGTTGCTGCAGCCAGTCAGAATTAAGCATTATTTTAAATAGAATTAGTGAATATCTATTAAAGCTTATATTTAAATGAAAGTTTTCAGTGATGGTTCTTGTAAATATTGCATTATGTATTAATCACATGACTCAGCCAAAAGAAATACTGTATCAGGATTAGTAACTTTTTATGTTTTTGTCTTATGTAATATATCCTTCATTCAGTCACATTTTTTGAAAAAGTAAATTTCTTCTAAGTGGGAGTTGAGTATGATTCATTTGAACAAACGGTTATACAGTAGCAAAGGAAACACATGTACTTTGCTCCCATGTAACCCTAAGTAAGAGTTGATTATTGGATGTAAATTCACAGCCTGATGTATTCACAGTGCTGAATCTGAATCTGACATATTTTAGTTGACTTTTGTTTTCATAGTGTATAGCTTGAATAATGAATTCCTCCCTGTTGTAATGTGATCCCTATCACTCAACATTTCCTGTGATTCAATAATCATTATTTGGAGGATTATGCACTGTTGTAGAAGAATGAAATTTATTGAAATTAGGTTCATTTCAGGTGCTCCTACTGGAGAGAAGTCTTAATTTACTTCTTATGGTAATTATTGCATAACTGTGGCATCCATGCTATGTTATAACTTTCTGATCATCAATATCAGATTTCATGTGTTGTTATAATCCAATTATCTAACCAGATAAAATGTGTAATAACTCCCTGGCTGGGACTAATTTTGTGCTGAGTTATGTTAATGATTGTGAGAGTGGATAACACTTAATTTTCCTAATGTGATCTATCCTATTGTAGGTGTAATAACCCCTAATGTGATTGATTCTGCTATTAACACTCTTGCACATCACTGTATTTGTAGCATCACCCCCTTACACACACAGGGCTAGTTGTGACCTTTAGGCACGGAAGAGCCGTGCTGTATCTTTTTTGGGGGGGGGGATCGATCTTTCTGCGACCAGAAACCAGTTTATTTTGTTCATATGAAACCAACTACTTTCCATGTAAAATTGGTTGCTCTTTCACATAAAACCGTAAAAAAATGAAAAAAAAAAATACTTCTGACGATGTGAATTCATGCATTACAGTTTTCAATACAATCAACTTGTATTTTAGCCAACCAACAACTAATTAAGGACACTAAGTGTTAGAAAAATACAATTGACATTTTTACACTTTACATTGATAAAATAAAATGGTGGTGAGTGATAATAAGGCTTGAAAGTTTAAAATATCAGAATATCTAAATTTTGCCTTAAATTGTTTTCTCATTTTGAGTTTGTGCCCATATTTTATACCTTTTTTATTATTTAATTTGTTAGTATAAGTGTCTTTGCTTGTTCTGGTGGTTTTAGAATTTTTCAAGTACAATATACAGTGGTCCCTCGGTTAACAAACACAATTCTTTCCAATTGTCGTTTGTTAACCAAAAATTTCGTTAACCGAATCCATTGTTTCAATGGGATATTGGGTAATTGTTTCCAGCTCACTAAAAAGTACATACAAAGTAAAAAAAAATGCAGTAACGTACTGTACACTTACTTTGAGGTGTTTATGTAAAAGGTTCCTGGTTGATGACGATGATGGGAATCAGAAGTGGGGGCGGAGGAGACGGGAGAAGAATAGGAAGTGGGGATGGTGGAGAAATCACCTTTCAGGGGACCCATACTTGATGCCGTCATTTCACCAATAAAATTTTAAGTTCACTAGGTGTAATTCATGATTATTTTATTTAAATCAACACTGCACTGTGCTATATATTGTCAATATATGAACTAAATTTCTGAATGACCAATAATTTCAATGAAAAATGCAAAAATATTCAAGACACCAACAAAATAGATGTTAGTCAACAGAGCCCAACTGACGCCTTGTAGCTGAGTCAAGCGTCTGATGGGCACACAAAAAACTAGTTCCCAGTACTGCATATATTATCAATATGTTAAATAAATGTTAAAATTACTAATAATTTTAATATAAAAAATGCAAAAATATTGAAGAGCACAACTTCATTGATATTTACTCCACTGGAAATGAATGTAGCATAGAACAGATTACTGAATTGGCAGACTAGCCCATCAGCTGATGCTCACAGCTAAACGTGATGTTCGTAAGGATTTCTTTAATCAAATTTTTGTTTGTTAACCGAATTGAAGATTCTTATGGAAGGTAATTCGTTAACAGAAATTTCGTTAACCGAACCGTTTGTTAACCGAGGGACCACTGTATACTGTTTGGCTGTAAGCAATTTTAGAAAAGAAATTCCATCCCCACATTGGGTATTGTTCTGTTTTACAGCATACTGGAGTGTAATATAGTACAGTGACCCCTCCGTTAACGAACTCAATCCGTTCCAGAAGGTCGTTCGTTAACCGAAACCATTGTTTCAATGGGTTTTTGGGTAATTGGTTCCAGCTCACCGAAAATTTCCTAAATTTAACAAAATGGTAGAAAAGTTCACTTACTTTGAGGTGTGTATGTAGAAGGCTCCTGGATGATGATGATGATGATGGGATTTAGAATGGGGGTGGAGGAGAAGGAAAAAGAGAAGGCATTGGGGTGGAAGAGAAGTCACCCCATGGTGCCATTTCACCCATAAAATTTTAGCTCTCTTGGTGTAATTCAAGATTATTTTCTTTAAATCAACACTGCACTGCATTATATATTGTCAATATGTAAAATATATTTCAAAATGACCAATAATTTGCTTGGAAACACAGAAAAAAAGCGTTTAGTTGAAGAGAGTCTCAAGCAAGATGTTACCTCCAGTGAAAACAGAGAGAGACTAACTCCTGTTTGCTGTGTTAAGAGGCTGGATGCCGCGCATTAAACTAGTCACTTTACCTTCAGTTATGTTCAATAATTGTTAAAATGACTAAAAAATTGAATATTAAACTTTTAAAATTATTGAATAGTATAAACTTCTTGATATTTACTAAAATAGTAAGGAATTTAAGCCCTAGAACCAATTAATGTATTGGCGGACTGATACTAAAGCTGGTTGCCCGGTCAGTGCAAGCGAAAACATGTTGAGGTCGGTTCGTAAGAACTTTATTAAACGAATTTTTTTTCTTTAACCGAATTGAAGATCCTTATGGAAGGCAGTTTGTTAATCGAAATTACGTTAACCGAGGTGTTCGTTAAACGAGGGGTCACTGTACTATATACAAAAATATAATTTTAGTGTACAGGCATCCCCCGGGTTACGGAAGGTATGTGTTCTTGAAAATTTGTCCGTAATGTGAAATTCCGTAACGCGAAACCAATTTTCCCATTGACATCCATTATATAATTGGAGATGCGCTCCCAAGGAAATATTTTTGGCAAAAAGACGTAATGCAAGCACATTTATGAATGAAAATATTTATTCTTTAACACATTGATTATTTTTTTTATACACTAATATGATAATAAACATACAAAACACTTGAATTTAACTTACCACAAATGATGTTGAGTGCTGCATTAGGTGAGGTAAGGTGGTGTAATTTTAGTTACTGGGAGGGAGACGGAGGAGCACTGCTGGCTCCTGCCTCACCCAGTACAGTATTGTAGCAACCACCAAGAAATCCACATGAAATAAATTTGATAATTTCTGTGAATTTTTTTCTAATAGAATTGAAAAAAAAAATTAACTTAAAAATCTACCCAATTTCCGTAAGAGCGAATTTTTTGTCCGTATCCTGAATTTATTGGTCATAATTTACAAAATCTGCAAGAGCGAATTTCCGTAACCAGAGTTTACGTAACCTGGGGATGCCTGTAATATATCAATACAGTATAATGAAACTTTATTTTAAAACAATCTTACCTTTCTAATAGTAATAATAAACGGTTTATTGAAAAAGTTTGCAGCCCGAAGGCTGAAAATATACATTGGACATAAATGACTTATTACATACATTGGTGGTTTAACAAAAGCCTTCATTAGAGAAAGGTGAAGGAACATACAGTGAACATGCAGATTAATGTTTACGCACGTAGATCATGTGAGCTGAGGTGTTGAACAGCAGACACGTAGTGTAGTAACTCCCTCACAGATGGCGTTATGAGGAGCATCCCGTGCAGGGTTGCCAACTCGGATTTTCAAATGTCGCTAGGCTGGTACCTAAAAGTAGCTAAATGTCGCTAAATCTTCCATGGAAAGTCGCTAGCTATTATTCCCCCCCTCAGTAATTTGATGCAAATAATATTTTCATAATGACGACTATAATGGACGGAGTATAAATAAAATGCATTATGTAAAAATAAAAGTATTATTTTTTTTAAAGTTTAATGTGCACACTTACCTATTATTCAATAGTAATTGCATCCCAGTCTTCTTCGTAGTCGTCGGCAGTGTGAACAACTGTAGAGCTGGAAGCATGTGAAGTGCGTGGTTCAGGTTCTCGTGCAGATATCTTGTAACTGTATGCCTCCACAGTTCCTATCTTTCTTAAAATATCACTAGGAAGTTCTTAACTTGCACAACAGGTGTTCTGTCTTTTTAACCCATACTTCATTGTAAGAATTGCCTTTAATGTCGATAGTTTCATTTTGTTGCGCAATTTTGATTCACAAAGATCATATTACTAAATGTGCGCTCTACATCTGCGTTTGAATGCAGAAGAGATAAGGCAGCGAGTGCAATTTCAGCCATTTCATGGTAAGGGTTTTCACCTGTCGCATCTCTGTAATTTGCCACTTCTGACCACAATTTTAGGGTGTTAGATGCATGGACGGGCTGATATCAAGTGATCAGGAAATAGACGTGTCCCTCCTTCTGTACCACGACCCGTTCAAATGTATTAAACTTTTCTTATTATTTATTGTCCCTGTAACCCCGTTGCTATATATTATGGCTCGAAATTAGGAAAACTGAGTTTTCATGGACAGTCCAAAAGTATCCAGAAAGTCGCTAGATTTCTGTGGATATCTCTAGATTTGCGACAAGTCGCAAATCGCTCTAAAATGTCGCTAGAAAAAAACAAAAAGCTCTAGATCTAGCTACAAAGTCGCTAAGTTGGCAACTCTGATCACGTGTAGCACTAGTTCCCTCACAGGTGGTGTTATGAGGGGCTTGATGTGGTGTAGTAATTCCCTGTGTGATGGTAGATGCTTGAGGGAATTGCAATTGGGTGGGAAAGGTATGATATACTGTATGATGAAGCCATCTCCATACATTTGAACAAGTAAAATATCAATACCGTAATAAACATATAAACACTTCACAACACTTTTCGTTACTGTTACAGATCGCTATGTTCATGGTATCCACAGGGGAATTTATTGTGCAGTTTACACACGTGATTGGTACAAGTTTGAACAAGTGAAATATCATAAAAAAACAAATTACACTTTATAAATACAGTAATTATATAAACACTTCACAACACATTTGATCACTTTTACAAATAGCTGAGAAGTTTATCATATGCACAGAGAGTCATTATTGCACAGTGTATACACAGGACAGTTAAAGTTTGAATACTGTAAGTAAAATAACATAAAAAATAAATACATGAACACTTTATAAACACTTATAAACACGTTACAAGCGAATATTACTACACAATTGAGGGTGGGAGTGTGTGAAGGATAGTGAGATAAAATATTTAAAAGCCTTGCTCACTGTACCTACCAGCTTGCCTCCTGAAGGAACACTAAAGCGTTCATGATGTCAAGCTATTGACAGTTCCCATGTTGTTAATTAGTGATGCATTACCACAAAAGAGGATGCCTACAGGAATGACGCACCAAAATCTCACACGTCAATCGGAATTACAATACTGTACAGTACATGATTTTTTTTTTTTTTTTTTTTAACTAACGAAATTATCACTTCAGTACCAATTGGATGAGATTATGATTGACACGGGCTACGCGTCACAATGCGCGAGTGTTAATTATCACTTTTTTTAAAGTATGAGATGGCACAATAAATGTGAAGTGTGTTAATGCATTTTGATATGGGAGTGCATGATGCACACCCAAAAGAATAAAGTATTGAACTAAATAATGCTCTCAGTTTAGAGATAACTACGTAGTTCATATTGGAAAATTACCTCAGGGTCATTGGTGGAGAACACAGAATATTTTGGTAAATCATTTAGATAATGTTTTCCTGAGAAAGTGCATTTTTGATATGTGAAATGCTAATTGATAACATATAATCAATGCAGAAATTATATCAGTTAATCATTGTTGATTTGGAAATGAAAAGAGCACTGATAATGACAACTATTGTTAGAGGCAGATATTATGTAATCCTGCCCTTCAAAAATATAATATCTTAAATTCTGGTGAGTGTTCCTTTCTTTTCACTGGGTTTTAAGTTTTCTTAACCCTTTGGCTGCTGGAGGTATCTTTAAGCCGAATAAAATTGTCTGGTGTTAGCAAGGATAAAATTATAAAAGCGTTCGGACGGCAGCAGAAGGGTTAAGTTAGCCTAGTTTGATTAGGTGGGTGGTTGCTTTTGGAGCAATTACAGTGATCCAACAGGCCAGTATCACTGCCATCAAGATGCTGATAGCCTTCTGGACAAGGCAGGTTCTTCCAGGAAGTATTCTAGTGATGAAAACTTGAAAAAGATGACTGAAAGACAATGTTTCCAGATCTGAGGTACTGTATTATGATTTTAATATTTTTAAGCACTTTTACAAATGTAAGCAGTGGTAAATTTTTGGGTATTTCTTTCATTTTCTTTCAGCTTTTTTTTTTTAAATTATGTTTCAAAAGATTAAATATTAATTCTTTCTCACCCAGGTTCCCTGAATTATGACGGTATGAGGATCTAAGCCTTTTGAGTGTCTCCAGTGTTGAGGAGCACCAGGATCTACATGGGCAATATTGTACTGGGCCAGAATATAGGGGGCCCTCCTGTTTACTGTCCCTAGTACCTTGCACCACACCTCCACCATTACTCCCTTCTCCACATTGCTCAGCACATCCTGCATCACCTGTTGCATTGCAGGAATGTGCAAGCCAAAGGGTAGGTGGACTTCCTCGGGAACCGTCATTTTACACCATCACCTCAGTTCAGTCTGGTTCTAGTCACAATAAAGCTGAGGTAGCTGGTAATTCAAAGACTTTTTACCTTTGGGGTTCAGATAAGTCTGAATTCACAAAGTCTTGGGAAAACAAGACACGAAAAGATAAACATGACAATCAGTGCAACCCTAATTTTGGAATCCCTCCATATATGTACAGTAAAGGTGATACTGATATATGTGCAACTGATGCAACTGAAGCTTTGGAGGCACTGGAAGAAAGATTTGACTTTGGAAAGTCAGTGGAAGTGCCACAGACAGAATACATTGTAGTGGACATTCCATTACAAATGGGAATGGGAAGTCCCTACTCTTCCTCATGCTTCATTCTTATTGATCGCTGATGCTTGAAAAAAATGTGGTTGTTACTTATTCATTATCAGTTTGCTTTGTAAAATAGGTGAAACTTCATTTGGGAGTTTAAACTTAAAATGACTTTCAGTAAGGTTAAAATTTCAGTATGATTAATATAGAATTGAAATTTACCTTTACTGTAGGCACCGATAAGGCTCAAAGCAACTGATCTTTTTGAAAAACATATTATATTCAACACACATTCTGTGGTATAAGATCACTAGGTGAAGAATTGTTCATACATAGTAATATCTAGATTATTTTTTTCAGCAACCTGGTACAATTGTTAAATTGCACAGAAATATACTGGACTTTTAAACACCATTTGAGTAGTAAAAGCTTCCATAATTCTCTATGACCCCGAAAGATTATAACTCTAATTCGTATACGTATATAACATTATATTTCAAACTAGCATGAAAATTCCTTTGCAGAATACCGCCCTCCAAAAAAGCAGTATAGGGTAATATTTTTCTTGTGGTTTTACATTTACTGTATTTGACAAGAGATATTGAAAGTTGTTATTTTTTCATAATTTTTATAAAGGAGTTTTTTCCTTATCCTGGCCACATTTTCAGTAGAAAAATAATACAAAGCTAAACATTAATTTAGCATCCACATGTCCATTTGGACAAGTGGATACAATACTAACATTTACTTATCCAAATCACATTCATTTGTTAAATTTTCCATTGTATTTACGTATATCGTTTCTATTACCTCAAGGATATAAGATTAGAGCTCAAAGTACATAACTTTTTATACTCCAGCTAGGTGCCTGATGTGAAAATAAGTCCTATACACATCATAATTATGTTAAAAAATGGTCTTCAATCTCTAAGATGAAGAAAGATGTATCTAGATATTACTGGGGATACAATTTACAGCAGAAAAACTATGCTGGCTTTGGGAGAAACTTTAGATAACAGTAATGTAATTATTTTTTTTTACTATCTCCAAAATAGTAGAAAACAAGTTAAGCAGCGTCACCTTAGTTCTTGTCATAGATTTTCTTTTACTATTTTATTTACAGTAAGTTCTCCAAATACATTTGACAATATTAGAATCAGGTAGCACTCACTGTTTACCAAATTCTAGACATATTGTTGCTGACACAAGCTTTTATAATGACAAGGCCATGCAGTACAGATTGACAGATCATGTTTTGGCTTGAATGCCATAAAGAAAGGATAATTCAAAGTTTTAATATGTTTGGAAAATTTTTATGAAAGGTGGAACATTTAAAGAAAAATTCATATTTTTAGAATGCAGTAAGGAAACAGAGTACTTGTATTACATTCTCATGATGATAATATAAACATTAATGAGGTCACAGTCACAAAGATTACATTGGGACAGACATATATAGTTTGAATGCATTAGCTGCAACAGTATTGTGGCACTGCTTTTAACTCTAGACCTGTGGTCCATCAGGCAGACACGGCCATTTTATATACATTCGGGGCAGCAAATCCTGAATATCGGGTTACCCTTAAATAACCTAATAAATGGATTTATCAACCTCAAAAAGCAGCCAGTTCATTCAGGTTACTTTTAGGTACAGTAACTGTAACGCTGCAACACAAGAGGATTGGTAGTTCTGATCCCTTGAAATTGGCGAACATGGGCAAATCAAATGTACAGTATAGTCTGCATTTAAGCAGTCAATTGAACCTGTGGAGGTCCGCGCAAAACAAAACACGTAAACGAAATAACAGAACATATGGGATTAATTGAAATAGAGACTGGGCCGACCCCCAAACTACACTTTTTCCTACACAATACGTACGTTGTAGTAAAAATAACATCTTAATTTTGTGATGGTATGCACACACAATTAATATTTAAGATAAATATCAATAATATTAGGTTTTTTAACACTTACGTTAGTAGAAAAGATGGCTGAGCACACGGGGATGGGGGGTTGGTTCTGAGGCAGAGGGCAGATTATTGGCCCTCACCTGTATCACTTGTATCAATTGTATCACTATCCACCACAGAGGCTTGCAGGGCCTCTTTGTCAAACCCCTCTAAGTCCATATCCTCACTATCACTATCACTGACTTGGGCTGGCTGTGGTGGGTGGCGGGTGAAGAACTCAGTTATGTTTTGATGACTAGGTGACCTTGTGCGCACCCTGCCCGCGCCACTTCCCGCGTAAATGATGAAATTTACCGCATAATTAAAACATTTCATTCTGGCAAGGCACCGCGTGAATGACCAAACGCGTAAACAAAATCCGCGTAAATCCAGAGTATACTGTACTGTAGGACTGGTTACTTTTGAACATTTCATAAAAAATATATTTATTGTAACCTAACCAAACCTAACAACAACAAAAACAGTTAAATATACTAGGGGGAAAAAATTAAGGAAATTCTTGGTGTGGTGATAATTACCCAGATAATTATGACATTCAAAATAGCAAATAGGATACCACATTGGCCTAACATACAGTGGAATCTCAGAGTACAGTGGTCCCTCGGTTAACGAACACAATCCGTTCCAGCAGGTTGTTCATTAACCGAAAAATTCGTTAACCAAAACCATTGTTTCAATGGGTTTTTAGGTAATTGGTTCCAGCTCACCGAAAATTGCCTAAATTCAACAAAAATGGGAGAAAAGTTCACTTACTTTGAGGTGTGTATGTAGAAGGCTCCTGGATGATGATGATGGGAATTAGAATGGGGGTGGAGGAGAAGGAAGAAGAGAAGGAAGAAGAGAAGGCATTGGGGTGGAAGAGAAGTCACCCCATGGCACCATTTCACCCATAAAATTTTAGTTCTCTTGGTGTATTTCAAGATTATTTTCTTTAAATCAACACTGCACAGCATTATATATTGTCAATATGTAAAATATATTTCAAAATGACCAACAATTTGCTTGGAAACACAGAAAAAAGCGTTTAGTTGAAGAGAGTCTCAAGCAAGAAAGTTACCTCCAGTGAAAACAGAGAGAGACTAACGCCTGTTTGCTGTGTTAAGAGGCTGGATGCCGCGCATTAAACTAGTCACTTTACCTTCAATTATGTTCAATAATTGTGAAAATGACTAAAAAATTGAATATTAAACTTAAAATTATTGAATAGTATAAACTTCTTGATATATACTAAAATAATAAGGAATTTAAGCCCTAGAGCCGATTTATGTATTGGCGGACTAATACTACAGCTGGTTGACCGGCCAGTGCAAGCGAAAACATGTTGAGGTCGGCTCGTAAGAAATTCGTTAACCGAATTTTTGTTCGTTAACCGAATTTAAGAATCTTATGGGAGGCAGTTCGATAACCGAAATTTCGTTAACCGAGGGACCACTGTACGCGTATTCTTAGTACATGACCCCACTTATATGCGTGTGACCACCTGAACCGCCCATACTGGTTTATCACTTGTCTGCTCATTTGAGAAAAATTAAATCAATACAATACTGTACTCTAATGTGGCATACAAATAAAAGAAAACTAAAATCAGAAAAATTAAGAGCTTGGGAGTGTATTTATGTGAAGTGATCGTATGTGTGAAGGCAGTGGGCTGTAACTGTGTAGGGAACGCACCATTCTAGCCGAACTCCCTTCCTTCCTCCCCGATGTGAGTCATCTGGCTGAGCGGCTGGACTGTGTCATGTCGCCCAGAGGATGGTTTGAATGTGGAAGGAGCTATTCTTTGTACATAAAATAATATACTATACTGTACCAGTAAATGTGAGGAATAAATAAAAATAATTCTAATAAATAAAATAAAAGAAAAAATACTGCAATGCCATTTGGCAGTCATTTCACTACATAATGAGCAGCTGAGATCCCTAAAGCTGCTCCCCCCTTCCCCTCCCCAGCTGTGCATGCTAATTCCAGTGCATGAAAATATGTTTGTGACCTATTGATAATTATTTCTTGCATAATTTTTTTGCACAATCTGTATGAACGATTGTGTGTGCATGTAACAGTAGAAATTTTTTATATATGTTGTATATTTCTACCTGAAATTACGAGTTAAAAAATAACCATAACATAACTCTGGCATCCTTCTATCTCTCACGTTGGTTCCGTGACCATCTCCCGGATGATCGCTCTGGTAAAGTTTTTTTCAACTGATGAATTTCACCATAATCATGTCCCCTTTGAGAAAAATTAGTGGCAGTGCTTGTGGTGGTGTGTGAGAAAAAGCGAAAACTTTTGAAGACAAAGTCAATATGTTGTACTTATTATGGAGTGGTGTATCGAACTCTGGTGTATTGCATTTCGGTTACCTTGGTATTAAAAAGGGGTTATACGTATATATGCGCGAATTTGCACTTACGCAGGGATCCCAGGAACGTAGCCCTCACATACTCTGAGACTCTACTGTACTTGTTTTTTTACTCCTGTCAATACAAATATCGGTAAATGTTAAGTTTAGGGTCATTACTTTATTAATAAAGATGAAAATATGAGAGTATTGTACTGTAGTATACATAAAATAACACATTCTGAGTGTGTTTTTAAATTCCACCAACTTTAACAACCCCCTACAATCTGATATATTTATATTACATAAAAGCTATTTTTTCAATATAAACTAAATACACCAAACTTTACAATTACCCAAATATTTTGCCACACACCACGTTCATAAGCTACCAAGTACATTTGCCTCTCTTGGATGTTCCATATACAGGTATCCTGCGTTTAACGTTGGGGTTGCATTCCTGAAAGGTCTAACATAACGAAATAATCGCTAACCAGGAAACCACAGAGGGCGAACAACAGGTTCAAATGGCAGGGCGGGAAGCACTGAATATAGTACAGTACTGTACTTCCTAATAATAATAATAATAAACGAGTTTGTTGTAAACTGTTTTGAAGTTACACGAGTGATTTATTATCACCATATTTCTATGTAAACAATGTGGTTCAGAGTTACCGATTTAGTGAGGAAAAGGTTAGGCGAATTCGAACAAATTCCAAATAGCATACATTAAAAATTAACAGAATATTTATTTACTGTATTTTGTCCCCATTCTGTATGTAGTGTTTGTGCATGTAACTGAAAAAAAATTAAGAAAGTTTTATTTATCTACTCAAATTTACGAGTTAAAAAATAACCATATCTCTTACCTCAGCCTGTTAGGGAGAGTGCTAGAGGGAAGTGGCCACCTCAGCTGACTCCTAGGGGCGCACGATTTGAATTTTTGCTGGGGCCCAAATTCGTACAAGCGAGAGAAGCTTTCATAAAAAAATAGAGGTGGTAATTTAGGAAATTCACAAAAGAGAATTTTCTTATCTCGAACATTTGTATAGTGAGGGATATCTGTATAGAAGTTCGGAATAGAGAGGTAATACTGCACGCCAAGGCAACTGCACGACCACTTATTCCTACTCGAATGACAATTTTCTGTTGACTCAATTACATCATATCCAAATCACATCCGCCTTATGGAAAATGTGTTCCCTAATAATATTCATCACTTTAAAACAAAATCACACTTTATGAGATACTAATATGTATCCCGAATGTTTACAAAAATGGCCGTCAATCTCCAGTTCAGTTATCTTTCAATTTCATTGATCTGCTACTACCAAAAGTTTTGTGGCTTTTCCTTTGGTCTTCACTTTTACTTGTTCATTGTACTAATAGCCAAAGAACCCTTGAACATAACTACTGTTTGGGAAAAAGAGTCAAATGTCTATAGAATAATTATTCAGTTTATTCACCTATATTAAGATTGTTAAAACTTTATTGATAACCTATAAACTTTATTGATATCCTATAATCATATTTGAAACTAAGTACAGGGGGTTCCCGACCTACAAATGTCTGACTTAGGAACGCCTGCCGATATAAGCTGGGTTAAACTTGAAATTTACAGTATTTTATTTACCTGGTGACTTATTTTTTACTTTCATGCACGTACTGTATTTTGTCAATTCTTTTTCTTCTTTTGTCTTAAATTAAGTGATTTTAGATGTATATAAGGAATTAGGCTATGATATAGTAGGATTTAAAAAAAGTTCTTTAAGTACGGTATGCACATAGCGTGTGTTCCGACTTCTGTACAAATCCAACTTAAGAACGTCCTCAGGAACAGAACCCATTCGTGACCCGGGGACCCCCTATATTAAAAAATACAGAACAATCATTTTTGCAAATCAGCATTTACTGAATATGTTTCATAACCACATATCTATTGTCCAAGTGGTGCCACCCTGAAATATGAATCTGGAGAAGAGCCTCAGTAAGCAGGACAAATTTTTATTACAAAAATAATATCCCATACAAGCCTCTTCATGTCTGTTTTCATCAGGTCTCTTGGCACAAATATAAACCTTCTTTAATTCACCAATACCATGTAGCTCTCTTAGGACAAAATCTTAACCTCTTGGTGATCTTTTGACTCCCAAAACACTTATCTGTTGCTTCCAAGTTTGACGGTTAAATATAATTCTCAATTCAACAAGGTTTTCACTCGCAATAAACTTTTCATACAAATTAGAAACTCACAGTATACTCCTCAAGAAAGTGGCTCATCTTTAAATCTTTAAAGATTATGATTCCTCTTGTTTCATCTTGATATTCCCTTTATTTTTCCAAGACAGATTAAGTAAAGCAGCAAAGTTCTGTGAATAGTCCTGAAGAAGTCTGAGCTTTTGTACTTCCTGCCATTCTGGCAGTGCCTCTGAAAAGTATTCTCAGGAACATTTTAAGTGTCATGTGCTTCCGATCTGGTCTTGGAGTATGAAAAAATTGAAATCTAACAGCACTCACTTCACAGCTTT